TTTTGGAGGTTTGGGTGCTGTTCTTGGGAAAGCACCCTTCTTTAAGTCATCTTTGAGGGTTTTGATTGGAGGATGGCTCGCCATGGCAGTTACTTTTGGCTTAACCAAGCTTGTCGATCATTTTGGAGTTTAATCCATATGTTTTCCAACACTTGATCTTCTGCCTCTTCCGAGTTAGATATGTTTTAGCTTGATCATGCATGTTTTATTGCTACATAGATATATGTAAATTCTCTTATGTGATAACTATTAATTTGTCTATGATCGAACGATTATGGTTGTTTCACATAATTTCGTATTACATAGAATGGATTCATTCCAATATAGGGGAGGCTAAACACGAGGATTGGTGTTGTTGTCATAAGTAACGTCTGAATGTCATATAGGTTCAAAGTATGTAACAAAGCCTATTATAAATATAAGATAAGATTGTCTGTTAATCTATTATAAATCATATGCTTAAGGAGAACTCTATAGTTCCAGCTTTATGCATATATTTTTATTTGATGATGCCTTTTTATTTTACATAGTTTAAAGAAAGTTTATGAATATGTTAATGGTCCCAAGCTGTACAAAATCTGAAAAATAGGGTTTTCAAATATTTGTGCAATAACTTTTTTTATTTATTTACAACACTATCATAGAGGTTTTAACTTATAATCTCGATCAAAACTACTATTTTTTTTGTGGAGCCTACAATTCAATTTTCCCATATCTGCTTTCGTCTTCTTTGTTTCAATGAGGCCCAGAAAACGCGTTTGTTGTTTTGAGTATAGATTCTTCATCTTTGTCGACTGCAGCCAACAGACTGATACGTTAATTTATTTCTATTCAATCTTAATTAAACAGAGGGAACTTAGTGGAATGATTTATTAATTTTTTTTTTTTTTAAAAGAAGAGTCTTGAACTTTGGCTCAGGTTTTTACTTTCAAATATACATAATACATGGTGCGTTATGGCAGATTGATTAGAGTGTTCTTATTTGGGTTGCACAAATATGAAATCTAGAATTTTGGTGAGAAAAATAAATTGAAAGGACCCAATCCCACAGCTTTAGCTACCGAAGTTGAACAGCATTCAAGAATAGAAATCCACCGGTTAATAATAGATATTAATCCATATGTCCTGTTCTCTAACTATGTCCGGCCATAGGGAATAAAATACCTAATGTTATTTTAGAAAATTTTATTTAGTGCCTTGTTTGGAATTTTATTTTTTTTTAGCTAGAAGCTACTTATAAGCATAAGTTAGGCCAAACAGATTTTGGAAAAAGCTCTTATAATGAAAAGCTTGATCTTTTTTGTATAACGAAGAAAAAAGCTCTTCTTTTAAGCTCTTATCTACTTTTCTTGAATTGTGTGTTTTTTTTTTAAATAAAGAGTTATAAAGATAGAAAGAGATGATTTTTTTTAAAATATGTGCTTTTAAGCTAAAATTTTTATGTAATTAACAAACAGCTTTTAGTTTTTTTTAATGGGTCTGATCACCCACATTTTTGTTTGTTGCATGAAACAATTTACAACATGAGGAACATATTCCCTATATAGGGTTAAATATTTATCCAGCCAGTTGAGATAAGCTTATCTCAAGTCACCCCTTATAACTATGTACTAAGGGTAGTACATATATAGTTATAATGTTAAAGTTACTTTTTTCTCTCTCTTCAAACACTATCGAGAACTTGTATGCTGACGTGGAGAGAAAAAAAATCATGTTTAACATTATAACTATGTACTACCCTTAGTACATGGTTATAAGTGTGGGGCTTGAGATAAGCTTATCTCAAATGGCTGAAGAAATATTTTTTTCCTTATATATATATATATATATATATATATATATATATATATCTATATACATACATATATACACACAGGGTTTCAATTTTCTCATGCAGTAGGATAAAATTTTCTTATACTATAGACACATCTTGTGTGGGACCCACATCTATTACAAAAACAAAAATAATAAAATAAATTGTTTCATGAAAATCGAAGGATCACTAGTAGGAGAAAATAATTCTCCTACAACATGAGAAAATGGTTCTCTCTCTATATATATATATAGCCTTTAATGTTTCTACGATAAATATAGATAATTTATGTACATTCACTTCCAAAACGACGTCGTTTTGTGTTGAAAAATTAAAAAATTATAATGAGTAAGACTATTATAATCCTAAAATAAATTATAATTATAAAAATACCTTGATTTTCGCTCCAAAACAATGTCGTTTTGGACTCATTGTAAATAACTTATCTACATTGACTACAAAAAAAATGAATATATATATAGGGGTTTACATTTCTACCGCTGCTGTATGTGCAGCAATCAAATTCTTGCCATATATATATTTGAAAGCATTAAATGCGAGAAATCATAATCATACAAAGGATGAAAGCATTAAATGCGGGAAATCATAACCATACACCTGTCGTTGTTGTACGTAAAGCGGCTGTAGAAATAATTTTACCATATATATATATATATATATATATGGAAAAAAGTGTGTCATTTTAAATGATATAAAGTTATGTCATTTTAAGAGAGAGATAGACACAAAATAATATTTTTTATTTAAAATTTAAATTAACAAAAATCACTCACTTTCTCTCTCGTGATTTTCATTTCTTGTGTCTATCTCTCTCCTAAAATGACATAACTTATGTCCTTTAAAAAGACAAACATCAAATCCTATATATATATATATATATATATATATATATATATGGATCTAACGTTTCTCCTGCCACAGGAAATAAAATTATCTCCAGCAATTCTAAAACTACGTTTGACTGTTGAGAGAGTTAATGAAGAGTATTTTGGAAAAATTCATAAAACAAATTAAGAATTAAATAAAATTCTTATAATATTCTTTATTAATTTTTCAATTCTTAAAATGATATAATTTTGGAATTGTTAGAAATTACTTTATCTTTCATTGCTGAAGAAATATTTTTTCGTATATTATAATATAATTAAATGGCAAAAACCAGGATGAAGTTGTGATTTCTGACTGAGGGGAGGAGTCTGAAAGTAATAGAAGCATATAAAAACAAAAGAAAGGAACGCACACGCAACCCACAAGCCAGTAATGCTATTTTATTAGAAAATAGGATAATAACCTTGATCTAAATCGCATAGAAGGAGCAGTCTAATAACAGGCAAACAGTGATATTTGCCTATATTAGCCATTAAGAATCATGTTAATCATACAGTGATACTAAGGTGGCATAGTAAGTCTTTGAGGGCATTTTCGTCAGGGTTCATTTTCACCTTTTGCCATATATCAGCTAATTTTGAAAAATCACGTCGAAGAAGTCTTTCTAAATAGTCACTTGTGCTTCATTTCTACAGCCAAATATGAAAAGTTATGCAAATAAAATAGGTGGGAAAATCTTAAGAAATCATCTACCAAAAAAGGACTTCCACAATTGTCAAGTTAATTTGCATGGGCAACTTTTAAAAAATCCCCAACCAAACAGCACAAGTTCATTACACAAATATTGACTTAAATATTATAGTGCCTTGCAGATATCTACATCGACTTGTTTATGATAATTCACGATATGACGCATTCACATTTCATAATCTTGCAAATAAGTGGGCTTTCTGGTAACTCTTTTGCTTGTGGGCCTCATGCCTGCAGATTTCGAGTCTATATTGTCAGCATTTGGATTATCAGAAGCTTGGTAGTCAGTTATGGATTGGCCTACTACAATATCTCAAAAATAATTGGATGGTGCTGACAGAATCATTAGTTACACTGAAATATGGGAATGGGGGACAGTGGTCCCACAGTATTGAGTACTCATTATATCACTATATAAAGTTAGCATAAAGTAATTCAATCATCTATTAGTATTTATTTACCTATCCTTCATAATTAATATCATATGAGTTCATTTTTATTTTATTTTTACAAAGGAATACCTATTACAAAAATAATGAAAATATGCTCGAACTGAGGATGATGGGAATAACATTATTATTATTTTTTATGAAGCTTTCTAAGTAAGGAAGTACTTGTGTCGCCAACTCTTTAGTTAATAAATAAATAATTATAAAATATATACTTAAATAATTAATTCTAAGAAAAATTATAAATAAAAATATTGAAATAATCAATAAAAATAAATCACTATAAAATTATTTATATTCTTACAAAGTATAATAAAAAAACATATCTTTAAATTAAATAATTATATGACTTAATTATATTCATATTATATGATGCATGGATCTTAAAATAAAAATCCTAAACCCTAAACATAAAATTGTATCATTTAGGTTGAGCATAACAACTATTAGAGAATCAATTTTTTTTAAAATTTTTTTTTTTCAAAAACAGAAACGGATAGAAACAGTGTTTGATAAAATATTTTTTTTCCCAGGATCCAATATAATTTTTGTGCTGTAAAATAAAAATAAATAAATTTTTTTCTCAATTTCGAGACGCAAAAAAAGAATCATATTTATGTTTTTTTTTATTCGCCACTCTCAACGCTTTATCTAAAAAAAATGACTCTTCCTTATTCGTTCAATGCTTCTACATTATGTAAGTTTTTTTTTTTCTTCTCTTTTCCCTTTTTTTCTCCTTTTCTTTTTTCTTATAACATTTTTCTCCTTTTCTTTTTTCTTATAACATTTTTCTCCCTCCTTCTTCATTCTTCTTTTCTCCCGTATTATCGTAGCTTTTCTTTTCGTTGTTCTTTTTTTCTTTCTTCTTTACTATGGTTGTTCTTTCTGGCTTTGCTTCATTTTTCTACTATGATTCTAAGTAAATCCACTCTATAAAGCACGCAAGAGAAAATAAGAAAAAGAGATAATGATAAAATTACGGGAAAGAAAATGAGAGTTTTTTTTTTAATTTAAATTTTAAATAAAAAATCACTAATTTTAATTAAAATGACCATAATATTTTTCCCTTCAAATAAACGAATTAAAAGTAAAATTTTAAATAATTTGGTACAAAAATGTAATTGTAATTTGACCAAAATTGGCAAATGAGATGGATTCCTAATTGAAGTTTGATCCGAAATATAGGCTCTGCAAAACCCAAACAACGCCACTGTCCAACACCACCCCTTACTCTCTGCAACCTCCCTTCGCACTCTGCAATGTAAGCCTCAAAGTTTCTCTCTTTCTTCCATTTCTCTTCTGTCAGATCTATGATTTATCTTTCATTTGAGTGTAAACACTTCTTATGTCCCCGCTTTTCAAATCTAGGGTTTTGAAATTCGGTTGCAATTAAGTTTTTTTGTTTAGGTTGTTCTTTATAAAAACACATGTAAAACCGATTACGATAATGATCCCGAAATGGGCTTCTTAGCTCACGCTTGATTGCTTCAGAAATTGTGGGGATTGGAACTTGATTTGGAGTCTCTGTTTGACTTTGATGCAAAAGTTTAATTTTCTTTAAACTGGTTTTTCGGGGATGCTGTTTGTATTCTGTGAATTCAAAATGGGGGATTGTTGATTCACAAGCTTTTAGGTGTGACCTCTCGAGAGATTTGGTTAATCCAATGGCAGAAATGATATCAGGGGTGCTTGCTTGCTGTATGCTAGAAATTGATGTCATTCATTGCTAACTAGTTGGTGATTGTTTATATTCGGTACTTTTGCTGAAATGTTCGCTCTTGTTTTGATTTACACTATGCTCTGTGGCGTTTGGGATAAATTCCAGCAAAAAATGATGCTTTAAATAATTCCGATGATGAGTTTGTGGTTGATTTAGCAAACATAATTTCAGGTGGCCCAGAAAAACATATGCTGACTTTCTTGACATTTTTGCTTTTTAAATTTCATTTTGTCAGTTTGATAATACCTGTTTCCCTTCACTTGGTTGCATGAGCTTTCTGTTTATTATTTTCTTTGTATTGATGCTTTTGCTAGTTCTAATTGTAATTTGTCACATTAATGATTGTGATTTCCCAAGATTAGTATGCCTGCTTATTTGGAATTTGATTGGTTTGATTTGGTCCTATATAATTGTGGTTCCAATAGCTTCTGCTGAGTTATTCTGATCATGTATTTTATTTTTCATTTCATTTTTCTTTTTTTATGACATTCCTATCCTATTTATTGATTTTCATTCATCTTTGGATTTTATTATGATTTTAGGGCTGACGAGGAACCTGTTGATCAGAAGAGATATTTTGAAGAGTCTTGCAAACCGAAATGTGTGAAACCATTGCTTGAATATCAGGTGCGCTTTTTTAAAGTGCAGAATTATAAGCTGGATCATGTAAATATGAGCTTTGTGCTTAATTTAAGTGATCAGTACAAAATTCTTTTATTTTCCAGATTTAAAAATTGATAGTAGATGGGTGCTGTAATTGGAATTTACTGCTATTGGTTTAATTATACTGTCCCTTTTGCACTGGCAAAATTTATATGTGGTCTACTGAAAAATATAATTGGAGAATTCTAGAGCAGCAAGTGTGTATGAAAAGAAGGATGAAGGGAGTACTAGCAAGATTCAAGAAAAGAAGAGAACTAAGAGATGAAATGTAAAAAAATAAATAAATATTGGAGGATTTATATGTTGTCTTTGGCCAAGGATCTAATATCTTATTGTATGAATGGTTTAGAGCCAATGAATAGGTCAGAGAGTGATAAAACTGAACTATTATAATGAGCTACAGCATGATAGTCCGAGTACTTTTCTGTTATTCTGATGTATTTTGCTCCTCTCATATTCTATGGAGAATATAATACTTCTGCCGAATTCGTTACTGGGGGATTTTGGGATTCTGCTCCAAGTGAGGAATGTTCTTATAAAACTGCTGGTAGATGTATTAATAGCATGCAAATAATTATATAAGACTGCTGGAAAGTTGGCACAAATTGAACTTCGTAAGAAGCAGGGCCTTGGGGACCGTGGGGTCAGGGTAGAAATCTTAGGTTCAATTCTATGTTGAAAAAAAACATTGCATTTGTGGTGGCTTCCTCTTACATCCCCTCCCCTCTTTGTAGTTGAGAGAACTAATATACTCGTATCATTTGTAAGCACCTTAGATTTTGAGTTAGTTGAATAGATACCCTCAGTGATAGTCTCAATGAACAAAATTTAGTAATAAAGAATCAAATTGGCAAACTTTTGCTCTTGCTTGACAGGGAAAAGTAATTCTTTAAATTGCTACAGGCGTGCGTTAAAAGGATAGAGGGAGATGAATCTGGGCACAAACACTGCACTGGACAATATTTTGATTATTGGTCTTGTATTGACAAATGTGTAAGTATTACTGTTTAGTTAGTAAATAACCATTGAACGATTTTGTTTGCTTCCACATTCTCTGATAAATCATAATTCTGTAATGCAGGTTGCACTAAAGCTATTCTCCAAACTGAAGTAATAGGGGAGAATTTCTTGGTATATTATCATTGCGATCTGTTCTATTTTTCATTCATGAATAACCGCTCCTAAACATTTGATTTTGTAACCAAACTATATGCCCTGTATGGTCATTGTGTTTACTGTGAAATTTTGAACCCATGGAGGGAGACCTTAGATTATGATTAATAAGAATATTATGCCAAATATGGATTCAACATTTTTAATAGGTTTTACAGTGTGGTTTTGGAGCGTGGATTTTTGGATTTCTTGTCTAAGTGGTCAGTGCGTCACAGCTGAATACAAAAATAGCCCTGCACCAAAAAACTTCATAATATATGTTGTCCTTTGTGCTCCAATGATATTAAACTGAAACGTCAAATTGTTGAGCTAGCTTTGCTCTGTAAATATATAAACACGTGGCGTTGCTTGATATGTTTGGGGACAACGCTGGCTTGTGTGCCTAGGTCTCGTTCAGGGGTGCTTGGCTGTTTTTGTGGTTCTTTATAGGTGTGTTGGGCTGGTGGTGGGTTTCTTCAATCCCTTTTTTCATTATACGCTTTCACATTTCATCATGAGGTGAAGTTATCATCAAGTTTAGGGATTATAAAAGCACAACAGTAGTTCCTAATGGATTACAAGGTGAAGTAGCTTATTTTTTTTTTATTTTTTTTATGGTGGTTAACTATAAAGTTTTCCTGAGCAATGGATCGTAATAATAGGTTATGAGGTGCAATAGTAGTTATATTATATGTCTAAGGCTAGCGGGGCTTATCTTGATTTTTGAAAATGCTAATTGTTATAAAAGTAATTTGAAGATTTGTTATGAAAGCCTTTGTAAGGAGTATTTTTCTTCTACTACCTTTTTCTTTCACTTTTTTCTCTGACCATTTTACTTTTTTCACTCATTTGATCGATACCACATTATTTTTAATAACATGTATGGAAATCTTTTCATTCCAAGTAGTATTTCATCCAAGAGAGAATCTAGATGTTATATTTATCGACATCTACAAAAAGGCTAGCTCGATTATAACAATTATCAGTCCGCCCAAACAACATAGAAAGTAATTTCGTTGTTTAGTAGCCATTGCAGTGCAATGTATACTGGATAGGAAGTCTCTTGGGATTGTTGTGGGTCTCAAGTTTCAGGGTCTTTTTCCTGTTCAATAATATAAAAACGTTTCTTGTCATTTTTAACTGCTACAACCAAGTCCCTTTACAATAAGGACCTCGACATGACCTCTGAAGCACGGACACGGGTTTTTGGAAGAAAATTGCGTTCGGACACGCGGACAACTTTTTGGGACACGTTGACTAAAGGGACACGCGATTTTGACCGAATCTGACACGCGGTCAACGTATTTGGACACGATTTGATATTTTTTTGTAAAAATAAAATAAAATTGCAATTTAAAAAAAAAGAAAATATTTAATAAAAATTGAAAAGTTTAGAAATGGAGACCCCTATCTTGTTAAGTTCTGCTGTCTTCACCTGGAGCTACTCCTCTTCTTCGTCGTTGGCCCTCGCCTCTTCTTCCTATGCTCGTCGTCTACTCTCCGGTCTGAATCAGAAACCTGGTAAGTCTCTTTCGATCTTGATCTCAACTGCTGCTACTTTGAGTTGACGTCGTTGTGAGCTGTGTAAACTCTTTTCATTTTAATTTGTTTTGTTTTGTTTTGACCAAGGTAGCAACTAGCAAGCAGCAAGAGTGGAGAAATGGAGAACAGGGCAGTGCTACGGGAATGGTTCGACCGAGTTGACTCGGACACAAGTGGAGGCATATTCATAACAGCGCTCTAACTCAAGGTTTTTTTTTTTATTTCAATTTCAATTTCAATTGATTTGTGATTTATAAAATTGGGTTGCAGGTGAGTTATATATAAAATTGGGTTCCCTGTCTGTGGGTTCTCCATCTTCATCTACTTCAATGGATCATCATCAACAAACAGCTGTGGAGTATAGGAATTCACAAGGAGGGATGTACCCGGATGTCATGGAAACCTTTTTAGAGTGAATGGGGGAGAAAAGCTAACTAAGTTGTACAAGGGAGAATGAAAAATGAAAAGTTGTATTAGGCAAAGTTATTTGTGTTCCTTTTCATGTGTTTGCTTTCTTTCCACTTCGTAAAAAGTGTTTCTTTCATCCACTTAGTGCAACTTGATTAATGATAATTTCTTTCTCTCTTTTTCATGCTGTCTTACTTACATATCTTATATATCCACAAGCAATAAGTTATTACAATTTTCTGAAAGAGTAACATGTAATTTAATCAGATGGTGTGGTCAGTTAGCATAACCAAGCAAACTGGGTATTCAATACACTGAATTGTGTTTGTAGTCAATTGTGTGTATGGTTTCTATTTTTCCCCTCTCTACATTATGTGTTTTATTTCCTATACCATATAGTTTTAGTAACGTTTCTTGGGTATACTTTTATTTGATGGTAAAATAAATGAAGATGGATTGGTGGAGTTACAAGCAGAATGGGAAAATGTAAGGAAAATTATGGAGCTACAAAAAGTTTGATATAACTCCACCACTCAATTAGAAAGCAGTATGAATTTCTCCACAATGCCTTGTGAGTGGTCTACACTCTTGGGATGTTCTTTATTTTTGCTTAATATTTATGTTATGAAATTTGAATATTTGATTAGTTATATGACTTATTATGAGTTGCTATATGTATTAAATGTAAACTATATTATTTAAACTATATTATTTATATTATAAATATTATTTAATATCAAAACGTGTCCCAACGTGTCGAAATTTGACATTTTTTAGAATTAACGTGTCGGGGTGTCGTGTCGTGTCCCGTGTCCGTGCATCATAGCATATGACCATCTGCATTTTTTATTTTTATATTTGGTAAGCTGCATTTTTTATTTTTTGGTAAATAGGTAAGCTACATTTTATATCAACAAGAACAACACTTTTACCTTTACCTCAAACCAATTAGTGTCGGCATTTGATGAATATAAATAAATAAAATTAATTTTTTAAAAAAGAAATAATAATAATAATAATAATAATAATAATAATAATAATAATAATAACAAATAAAATAAAATGAAAAATAAGATATGAAAATTAATAATTGAAAAAGTAACTAAATGAGAAATAAATAAAATAGTTTACGTAGTTTCACCTTCAAAAAATTTTAAATGAAAAATTATTTCTATTTTTGTTGCATACAATTTTTTTTTACCACATTCACCTAAAAGTGGATGAATCCTTTTATAATGGGAAGAGAGAAAAAAATTAATAAAATATAATAATACCCATTAATTTTTATGTTAAAAACAAAAAAAAACCACTCCCCATTAACCTCGACTAGCGAATGTGAAGTGGAGGAAATCCTTGTACGCAGTTTTACCTTTACATAATTGGAAAGAGGCTGTTTCCTGGATTCGAACTCATAAAATTTCAGTCACGAGGAAATTTTTATGTTAATGACAGAAAAAAATTTCTTTCCAAAAAGAGAGCAGTAAGAAATAATGAATGTTCCTACAAGAATGTTGTCGACTTGAGAGTAATTAGTTAGATAGTGTCTATCATAAACATTTAATTTAATATTAAACATACGTTGAATTACAAAACCCCTAGTAAGAATATATCACTATCTAAAAAACATCTCTATACATCTTAATTATTAAGTTTCAAAACCTATGCTAAGAATGTAGCACTATCCAAAATATAACTCTATACATGTTAATTTGCAAAAGGAGTGCCTAAGAAATAATACGATAAACGGTGCTAACATAATTTTCCGCCACCTTACTTTCTCTTTGACTTGAAAACTAAGGAACGAGCATCTCTAAGTAAGCCTTCTTTTCACAAATTTTCATCCATCTATTTTGTTTTAGCTAAGTTGGCAACTATAATTTTTAATGAGGAAACCGAACAATATGTTAATAACAGGCTAAGTAAAAGTAATACCCAAAAATAATAACAATATATTAATGACGATTCTAAATGATATTAAATGCATCAAAATCCTGGTGAAACATACACTGCATAAACATTCCAGAAACCAACTACAGCTCTAAACTCTAGATTGGAAGCTGTAATTACTTATGCAAAGCATAAAGGCAATTGTAATTACTTATGCAAAGCACAAAGGCAATTTATTTCACCTACATCCGATGCAATACAATGAGGTTGCAACTTCCCATCCTGAAACCAGGCAGCACGCTTCTGCATAAGCTCGTTCAGAAAATCATCAAGCTTCTCAATAGTGATGTTTGGCATCACCACCACATGTGCGATGTTTCCCTTGCATGCCAACTGCCACTTGCGTACAAATTCCTCATCATGTGGCCGCTCAAACACAACCGTACTGCTCAGCTCATTTAGCATTGCACCAATCCCGGCCTCAACAAGGCGGTCTTTGAAGTAGTGTGCATTACGCAAGCATTTTTGTACTTCTTTCTGAAAACCTCTGTATCCTTTCCGGTTTAAGGTATACCAAAGGAATATGGGAGCATGGCCATTCCGGCTACCCATGATTGTGGCATCTCTAGAAGCAAGGTATTCTACATTCCTGGAAAGAGCATTAACATACTCCAATCTTGTTATCTGCACACCACAAGGCATTGGACACCCCACGAATTTGTGGCCAGAAACGCTAACACTGCCAATAGGCTTCTTAAAAGTAACTTTTGGAGCCTGACATAGCGGAATTAAAAAATAAATAAATATCAACTCAGTCAACACATATGACATCAAATACAAAATAACAAAGAACGTGGAAAGATTCACATCTATACAGGAATAGCTCTCAATTGCTTGGTTTAGCAACCAATCAATGACAAACAATCCAACATTAGATGGGTCATTGGGTTTGGTTTGACCAAGAAGCATGAAATTTTAATTCTTTATTTATTTTTCTCTCTTAATTTTTTTTTCCCCCTGAATCTTTTATTTTCTTGCTTTGTATTTGGGTTCATCTAGTGAACTAGTTTGGGATAAGGTAGATGTTGATGATGTATTCTTAAATATAATCTTGTTAGAACAAAAAGAATATTCCCAGACTGAAAATGGAATAATAGGCGCAGTTTCATTTGCATGTAAATAATCAACGATAATATGTGACCAAAGTTGATCATAGTAACGGGGATTAGAACTATAAAAATTGGTCTTTATTGCAAGAGTGCAAATGCACGACAAAATGGACCACCATAAAATATACCGGTAAATCATGGAAGAAACCAAAATGCTGTCCGC